TTTTGGTCTCTCCCAACGCTAGACAATGAAAATCGGTCTTAAAATCTTTTAAAATTAACAGACAAGCTCTTATTAAGTTTATATTACGAGTATGTTCTTTTAAATTTAGTTTCTTTATAGTACTTCAGATATGTGGGAATCGAGTTAAGGGAATAATAATATGCACTAGTGTCCGACTGTCCATAAATGTTTAGTTTGAGCACGGTATATTTTCGTAAATTGAATTTAATATAAAAACTGCATGGAATTAGGGATTGTTTTGTTCAGCTTAGTTTCAGTTCAGTTCTAATTTCCATCTCACATAAACAATTCATTTCAGCTTTATTCAGTTCAGTTCAATTCAGCCTCAATCAGTTCACTTCAATTTAGTTGTTTCAGTAAATCAGAACAGACCCTCATTATGCATCTTATTCTAATTAATTTTGTAATACACGCATAAGGAAGTGCATTATTATGTGAAAGCTTATTTCAAATGGTGAATACACATTTATTTGTATCATTTTTACTATAATAATACATTAATTGTGCGTAATTAAAGACAATGTTATTTAATATAGATATGTATTATAAGCCCCAATAAAGATATTGTAAGCAATTAGTTAATATGGGGAGCTACATTTCTATTTCTTAACTATGCTATATATATTGCAGCAATTAGTTAATACGGACATCCTATAAACTTTGACGAAACTTGCTTAATATAACTTTTCAATTTCTTGTTTGATATGCAGATTCCATTTTATTTTTTTATTTTTTTTTTTGGAAAAATTAGAAAATAACACCCAAAAATTGTCACGATTTTGATAATAACACCACCAAAAAAAAACTTAGATTATAACACCACCAAAAAACCAAAAATTTTGATTTCAACACCACTTAACTTTTTCATCCAAAAAACCGCTAATGGGTCCCACATTGTACACGTGTCAATTGTGCATTGGATTAAAATAAATAAAAAACAAAAAAAAAAGAAAATTAAAAAAAAAAGGAAAACCCTTAAAATACCCAGCCACCATTCCTACCGCCGTTCCCCAAACTCAACCTCCACCGCCGTCACCCAATCCCAACCGACCACCCTCGACCCACAAAACTAGCCAGCCGACCACCCCTTGACTGCCGAAATCAGCCCAAACGTACCCACGAAAGAACTCGAACCCCGATTTGGTTCAAGGTGAGGGTGAGAGGAGTAGGGCGGATAGTGGGTTTGGGTATGGGTGGGTCGGGGTTTCGGCGGTTTGGCGACGACTTTTGGTTGGGTTTGGTAGAGGAGTACGGTGGCTGGCTGGTTAGGGTTGGATTTGGGTGGTTTGGCGATGGATTCGGGTCGGGGAGACGATAATGGGGGCTGGGCTGGTTTGGGTTGGGGTCTGGGTGGTTCGGCGACGGCGGGGAGACGATGATGGGGCCTGGGTGGTTCGGCTACGGCGCGGTGAGACGATGATGGCTGGTTTGGGGTCTGGGTGGTTCGGCGACGTCTGAGAGGCAGTGATAGGGGCTGGGTTGGGGTGCCGACCATGGTAGGGTTGAGTTAGGGGCTGGGTTGGGGTGCCGACCATGGTAGGGTTGAGTTAGGGGCTGGGTTGGGGTGCCGGCCATGGGCGCCGGTGGTGGTGGTGGTGGCTGGGTTAGGATTATAGGTTTTTTCTTTTTTTTTTTATTTTTTTTTTGAATTTTTTATCCAATAGTTGATTGACACGTGTATTGTGTGGGGCCCACTTAACGGTTTTTTTTGGATGGCAAAGTTAAGTGGTGGTGAAAGCAAATTTTTGGTTTTTTTTTGTGGTGTTATAATAAAAACTTTTTTTTTGGTGGTGTTATTATCAAAATTGTGACAATTTTTGGGTGTTATTTTCTAATTTTTCCTTTTTTTTTTTTTTGTTAAAAGAGGTCAAATTGAATTGAATCAAATCAATTTTGATTCTTTTGAACATTACATTGGTTATCATTGACTCGAGCTAACACAAGTTATACAATTGACAAAATGATGAACGAATTTTGACCCTATTTTGCGTGTGTTTGTTTTTAGCAAAACTCTTAAACCTATATAAACTAATTTAAACTTTTAAGCATATTTTAGTTATAAACTGAACTTAGTTATTATACGGAATGTCATACCGGCATGATAATCAAAACGCTTAAACCACGATAGTGATCATATATTAACATATTAGGCAAACTCCATCTTTATCAATTTTTCACTAGATTGTATTCCTATACAAGTGGGCAATCTCCCTTATCCACTTGACAAACATCAAGGGTGACCATGCTTATAGATGGAACATACCTCGAGCTCCTTGCATACTAAAATATCCCCACATCACATCTCAAATTAAGGTAAATTTCTTATACTCTTTAGTCTTTACAAATACTTTTGATCCACTTGTACACTATGTATATACGCTACTTTATACACACGAACTATGTTTTTGAAATTAGTATAAATAATGTGAAAGGAAAATAATGTTAATTACGCTAGTTACCATCATAGAAATGTCTAAAATAATTAGCATAAAAGGATAATGTATGACCTGTATTTTTGTCAAAAAAAAGTGAGCTATACTAGTTACAAGTTAATTAATGAAAAAGCTCACTCCAAAAAGCTAACAACAAAGCTAATTTATTAAGATTACATTACATGATGGTTTTAAAATACAGAGTACCAAGTTAGTTGAAGTTGATAGATCTATACGGTGGTGTTTAATTAAAGTAAAGTAATAGAAATTCAAAAAATAATAATCAAAGAATTTTTTTTTTTTAAAAAAACAAACAGTTAATAATTGTCGGCAAGTTCCAACGGTAGCACACATGATGCATACAACTCTGGCGCAATCATATGAGATGAGATTATCAAATAAGACAAAGGTGGCGCGTGAGAATTGTGTTTACTACGTGTTCATTTGTGTTGAGTAGATTATTATACTATAGGTTTTTATTATGGCCCACTTTATTTTGGACATGTAACTAATACTACTGTTGTAGGTCCATCTCTTCATCTTCCGTTATTTTCATCAATTTTAGGACACATATACCCTTATAAATATCTCAATCCATTTCAACCTCGTTTTGCTATTACAGTACTCGTATTGATTAACTACTTTGACTAGCTAATTATTGTACTCGTATATGGGTACATAATTAACAAGAATTGTAGAGACTTGATGTATGTCTAGCCTTTATAAGACTTATAAGACATACGCCAAGAATCTAGTTGTAGGCTTGAAAAAGACAATATTGGAATTCTTAAATTATATTCACGAAAGGATGCAATATTATATAGTATTACAATCTCTTTTATTAAGTAGAGGATCTTATATAAGAATCAAATAGTATAAATTAGTTGTGCAAGAAAAATGGTGGCAAACAAATACTTCGTATGTCAATAGCATTTGGTGATACAAGTACATGTGTTATGCGTTGATGCAATTACTGGCTATCCACTAACTTATTAGACATCAATTGAATATTGCTTTGATTTGACGTTGATTAAATTTTATTGTCAAGTATGGAATGTGGAGACTTGGTCAATGCTACTAGAACCATCTTATTTGGTGATGTTCGACGTTGCAAATATACATTATTATGCAATTATTCTCATTCACCTAATATCTTATCCGAGTATCTAATAAATGCTATTCTACGTAACAGAGATATGACAAAACCAAATTTTGGGGTGCCGAAATCAGTTTTTAATAAACGAGTAATATAATACAGGCTCTGAATTTAACACGGTGTGATAAGTATAAAAAAAAAAAACAAATTTTACACTTTGTAAAGCTAAGGAAAGGTGATGGGATTTAATCCCGTAATCTTCTTGTCACACTAGTTCCAATAGCAGCATGTCAGTGGACTAACCTAATTAAAGTTTAAGTTCATGGTTGAAACTCTTAGATGGATTTTATATTCCACCAAGAGTCTAAATTGAACAATGATATTGATTACTACAGATATTAATTAGCACACTTTATGCTTATAAACTGGCTGCACTGTATTCACCTCTTATTGCAGTTATTATTAATCATAGTCGTGCCTTGCTATGGAGTTCAAAATGGCCAAAAGTAGTGTTTATTCCTTCTTTATCGCGAAGCCAATCCATCCGAGTTGTATATTAGTAGACAATTTATATGTTAGTTAGTTTTCATATTACTCCGTATAACTTTATAGCCAAGTTGTTATCATTTTGTATTAATATTTCTAAGACCTTATTATATATGATCACCTTATTTCCACGATTTAGAAATAATATAAACGAATAAGTTTACTTAAGTTAAAATAAGTTGAATTATATCGATTACTTCCTCCACTTTATCCATCCAAAGAGGGTAAATCGAAAGCAAACTACTTCCTCGTATTCTATCTCCCGATTTGATTCATGGTATATGTTTGCTTTGAAGCAAAGCAATAGCAGGTCCAGTACTTTAAGCCACCCTTCTTAGGACTTAGATATCTAGATAAATACAGGACAATAGAACTTCTTTTAGATGTTACACCCATTTGTTTACTTCAATGATATGCTTTTGAAACATTCGAGCCCACATTGAGGTTTGAGTCCAAAAAGAATGAAGCCCAATTAAGGTTAGTCCATACATTATGCTAGTTTCTTATCAACAAAAGCTCGCTACTCCGTATCATCCAAGTTAGAGATTATCATATACTACCTCCGTTTTACTTAGTTGATATCTTTTTATTATCCCGCTTGCCAACGTATGTTTTTAACGCTTAATATCTCCAATCACGTAATATAAATATTATAAATTTATAAAAATGCGATATTAATAAAATATATATTGAGACGATTCAAACAAGATATAAGATGACTATATTTTATCGTATCTATAAATCGCAAAAGTAAGTCAAAGTGTAGTATGTGAATAATGTAAAAGTCAAACGGTATCAACTAAAAAAACGAAAATAATACTTGTATAGTTGTATACTAAAGTTAAATGCAATGAACCACAAAAAGTTAATTAGGCAATAAACTCTATTAGACTTTTTTTTTTTTTTTTTTTTTTTTTTTTTTGGGAAGCAATATTAGATTTGATGACATTTATCAGTTGTGAACACATCTTAGAATATGAAAGATTCTCTAACAATTATGCAAAACCAAACAAATAAAATCTCGAGTGACTGACTTACCAACTTCAGCCAATTCACCACTCTCCTTTCCTTTTTTCTTTAATCTTCTGCCTTTTCCTTTCCCCCCTTTATAAACCCCCCAAAAAATTCACATTTCAGTAATCATTCATTTCACTCATTAACTTTTCTCAAAAGAAAAAAAAAAAAGAGAGAAATCGAAATGGCTTTTACAGCAACCTCAGTATCCCAAAAAACGGCACTTTTAGACCAACACAAAGAGAAGCATTTCACCGCAGGAGAAGTTGTGCGTGACATTATCATTGGTGTGTCTGATGGCCTTACTGTCCCTTTCGCCCTCGCCGCCGGCTTGTCCGGGGCTAATGCCTCCTCCTCTATTGTCCTCACTGCCGGCATCGCTGAAGTCGCTGCCGGCGCCATTTCCATGGGCCTTGGCGGGTACTTTATTTTTTTTATTAGTTTTAAAGTTTACACGTTTTGACTTTAACACTATTCATACAAGTTATTTAGGTTTAATACTTGTATTAATGTATATTAGGTATCTATTTTAGATTTCAATCTATTTTACGACTTTATTATTGAAGATATTGATATCTCTAGTAAATAATAAAAAAAATTGATATTTGAAATCATACCAACTTAAACTCTATTCCCTTCACCTTATTTATTCGAAAAATAAATCGAATAACTTAGACACCCTGTCATTTTACGTAGTATTTTCGTTATTTATTAATTGTAACTTTAGCGTAATAACTTTAGCGTATTATTTACGTAGTATTTTTGTTATTTATTAATTATAACTTTAGGGTATTATTTGCGAGATATAAAATATTTTAAAGTTGTGACAACGAGTAATATGTACAACTTTTTAAGGTATCTGGTCAAAATGGATATGATCATATGACCCAAGTTTGTAGGAGAATATCCATGAAATATTTGACCAAAGTACATTACAGCATAAGATTAGCAAATATGTTGATTTGTTAATTATTGATTAATTCTCTAATGAATTAATTTAATTAAATTAATTTTGAAGGTATTTGGCGGCGAAGAGTGAGGCAGATCATTATGCAATGGAATTGAAGAGAGAACAAGACGAGATAATATCAGTGCCTGATACAGGTGTTTACCTTATTTGCTTTGGTCATTATCTTTTTGTTTGTTAGTTTTTGTTTACGAGAATTTTGTGGTTATCTTTATTCCACATTATCACAATCACAATAATTAAAGTATTCAAAGATAATATTCAAAACGTGATGACATATTTGTTGATAGTGGGAGTCACATCTTGCATTGAATAATTAAATGTTGAACTAGGATATCGCTAAATTAAAGATCTTGACCTACCTATATTTCAGTTACGTGATATAGATTATTGACTGTGGAGTGTACGAGAGATTCTTATATATACTCGGGTGCAAAGATTGGTGTATTTTAAATTCACATATAATGTTTGAAAACATGGAGTATTAAGTGCATGTTAAAAACGAGTATTAGTAAAATGTGTAATGCGTGTTGAAACTCGAAAATGAGTATTAGTAAAATGTGCACTATGACTATTGCCTAAATGGCTCTATATTCATATGGATAGGCAAGATATTATGTTGATGTATTGTGTTACGAAAAAAGTACAAGTACTGCATTTAAAAATAAATATTTATTAATGAAATGTTGACTAAAGGACTAAGGTTACATTTTCTTCAACTTAATTTCAGTTTAGTTCAGTTCAGCTGCAATAGCTCAGTGTATCAGAACAGGCCCTAGATGGGTCTAAAAAATCTAAATCTAGTTGTCTATTTAATTTAATTCATCTATTGCATTTTTTTTTTGGGTTGGAGATAATATAAGCATGCATACATTTAAAATTGAAACATGATGAAAATAATAAAATGGTTGATAAATGCAGAGGCTGCTGAGGTAGCAGAGATATTGGCGCAGTATGGAATAGAGCCACATGAGTATGCTCCTGTTGTAAATGCTCTTAGAAGAAAGCCTCAAGCTTGGCTTGACTTTATGATGAAGTTAGTCCTCTTTTTCTCTACCCTCAAAGTTAGTAGATAATTGCACGTATTTATACGGCCCGTAATCTTCGTTTTATATCTAATAAGTACTTGTATTGGATGCTAGACACGTTATAGATATAAGCATTGAGTCATTGACGCTTTTCATAAAATGGTTGGTCCAGTTGTATCTAAAATTACTAGCACAATTTCCTCTCCATATATGGAATACAAGAGCAGGATAGCAACAAAAACAATAGCAACATTAGGTAATTCACAAAAGGCACATTTAGTGATTTAGGTAGTGTAACCATAACTCTAGCTTGCTTATAAATCATACTCCCTAATTTATTAATTTAAATCGTTTGAATTATTGTTAGTTAAGTTGATTCAGATGACATCTTTAAGTGCATTACAAGTCACAAAGTTTTGTAGTTTTTCTCTTTAAAGAGATTCACTAATATTCATAGTTAGGAATTGGACAAAATTGTGATTATGACTAGACGACTAGGTTGTCAACGCAGCATCATTGTCTTTTAATTTGTTTTTTGTATTTAGTTGGATTAATATTGAACCCCTAGTAATATTTGGCATCTTGTATGTAATTTTCATTTTTATCCCATACGAAGGATTTCGGAATTATGTGGAATAGTAGTAGTCTGACTTAGGGTCTGTTCTAATTTAATGAGCTGAATTGAACTGAACTGAATAAGAAAAAATAATTAGCTCAAATCAATGAGAAATTGCTCACTAAATATATGCTTCATACAAATTGTACATCTATTGACACTATTGTGTATTCCCTTTGTCTTATAAATTATCGACCAAGATTATACATGTTTTACCACTTTGATATCAAGGCCAATTGGGCGATTTGGCCTAGTGCTAAGCATAATTTCTACGAAGTATTATCTTGTACACGTACACCTATCCTTAGAAGGGGGAAAGGGATGAGGTTCTGCCGGTGGTAAAGGGGAAGAGGATGCAAGACAAGTGGATTCTTGTGGAGGGTGGTGGTTGTCGTGTAGAGGGGGCATATTGAAACTACCAATGCAATATACTACCTCCGTTTCATATTATTTGCAACGATTTGACATGAAGTAGAGAGAAAAAATGTCTAATCGTTGTAAATAATATGAAACGGGGATAGTAACATCTTTAGAATATTAGTTATTATTATCATTGATGACTAGAGTAGTTATTGACAAAAACTTTGTTGAATAATAAAAGTTCGGATGCATTCAATAGTTTTTTTTTGTTTTTATTGAAATTGTACACCAACTAATTACGACTTCTCCCGCTTTAAAGTGAACAGTCACTGACGGAGGTCAACTCGCAAGAGGATTATTTGTACACTCAATCCATGAGATTTGAAATGTGTGACACCATATAAAAATTGCTAGAAAGAATTATAAACTTTGATTTATGGAGAATGAGAATAAGCATAATGAATGGATTCTCTTTTACCTTGAAAATGATCAAAATACAAATGTCTTTAGCCTGGCTTATTGTATTGTTCTCTCATGTATATGCATGCTAAAATAAATATTTGGAAAATGGAATCTTACAGAGGTATAAGCCAGAACCTGAGCATCAAATAAGCTTAGGTCCAATCTTTGAGGTCCCCAAATTAGCCAAACTCCTGAATTCTGACTTTGCAGCTTTTTACATACCCTATATTATACGATATATCACTTACTTAACCTTGAGACAATGCCTATTTTCTCTCCTAGATTTACCAGCATTTTCTCTGTTTCTTGGCAGTGCCCTTGAGCTTACATATAATGTTGGTCACGGTCGACTTTCTATTGCTACTTGCCAAATCAACACTCGGGTTTGGGTACTGGGTACGTATTCAAGTGTCGGATTTGGCTATATTGTGAAAAATCGTGACTTTGATCCAAAATGAAGTGTCCATACTCTATATTGGTTGGAGGTTCATAGGTTGATTATGTGGATTGGCTAATTTTATTGATCTCAAATTTTGGTCATAGTAAACTCATAATTGGAGTAATTTTACATATGATTACACGACATTGATTATTAAAGACACAAACCGAAGTTATATCATCACGATTCTTTGAAGTATGTTGTAATTTACATTAAACGTACTGCCAACATTGAATTTGATGATTTTACGCGGATTATACTAATTGTGATGAACAATGTTGCAGATTTGAGCTAGGTTTGGAGAAGCCAGACCCAAGAAGAGCCCTACAAAGTGCATTTACAATAGGCATAGCCTACATAATTGGTGGTTTAGTCCCCCTATTTCCTTACATGTTCATCCCTGTGGCAATGAAAGCTATGGTTGCATCCATTATTGTAACCTTAATCGCGCTGTTCATCTTTGGTTACGCGAAAGGCCACTTCACTGGCAGTAAACCGATCAAGAGTGCTCTTCAAACTGCGCTGATTGGTGCTCTGGCTTCTGCTGCTGCATATGGCATGGCTAAGGTTGTTCAAGGATAGCACATATGCAAAGTTGCAAACCTTTTATTTTAATAGGATTTTGGATTTTGTTCTAGTGTTTTGATGTTTGGTAGAGAGTATTTTGAGTTTTAGTTTCCTTTTAATTGTACTTTTGCTTTAGATTAGTCTTTTAGCAAAATTCTTTGTGTTTGATTTCAAATGACTGCATTGGTATCCCTATAAATCTTGTCTCTCCTCCCCTCCCACGGCCTTGCCGACCATCCACAATTGATAGTCTAAATTGGTTGGCGGCCAAACAAAAGACACCCTAGCTAGAGGTGTGACAATCGTCTAGTGGTACTAATGGCTGTGCAGTGGTCGATTGATGGTGGTAGTGGTCGGATAGTCGTGCTAGTGATGATGTTAGTGGTGATGCAGTAGCCAGTAGGTAATGTTAATGGTGATAGAGGAGAGAGAAAGCGAGTTTTTGCTTAAGAATTTACCATATAACCCTTGATATTAACAAGTTTTGAAATTGAATACCTACTTGTATTTTCTTCTATTATGAGTAATCTCCAAGGATAATTCACTATTTGTATTTTGGGGTGTAGTTTGGTTCGATATTCTTGTGATAATTATAATAGAGTAATTTTGAAGATAAATTTATACGAGTATAAAAATAATAATAAATAAATAAATAAAAAAAAAAGATACGAAGTACTAGTATATTGTATGGTCATAATAAGACTTCAGTCATTGAAAATCCTCCAAAACCAGAAAAATAAAGAGCAATAATTAAATCATTTATCTACTTCACAAATCATTACTCATTGATAATTTGTCATCACAAATGAGTTGATCATATATTCTACAAAAAATTTAGTTTGCAATTTTTAAATTTAATGACAACAAGGCTTTAGATTTTATTTATTTATTTATTTATTTTTCTAGAATGGGACAAAGATATTTTTTAGTTGAACTCAATATCAATATCAAGCCAATTTATGGATGATATTTAGCTTTGCATTTGTGGCAGCAAAACTCAGTTTTTTTTTTTTTTCAAGTTTCATCAATGGAATCCTCTGCTATCTTTAGGCTTTGTTCTCCTCCCTCTTTTCTAACACCAAAACCAAACATCACTAAATCTCACACATCAATTCCATGGAAGTTCAGAACTTCTTTGCCTACTCATCTGCACTGTGGCAAGATGTTTGTCCCTGGTAAACTTTTCTCCTTTACTCCCTTCTCCCTCTCTTTTGAGGTACGAGTTTTCGACCCTGTAGGCTACAGGGTCGAAATTCATGGGAGACTTTTCGGAGGCACGAATAAGAAAAGAACATGAACTGTTTTGTTCTTGCACTCATCTGTCACTCACTTTTCATTTCCTGCAGGATTTGGAGAAGCATCTCCGGAAGCGCAGGCAGCAGATAATCTCCACCAGTTCTTCACTTACATTGCAGTCAAGATAGTTTCTGCCCAACTTGAGGTAACTCAACAATTTCTGCTTCTTACATTTCTTTTCAGACTTTCCTACTATGACTTATGATCATTACGATGAAATTTTTTATATACACCCGCGTGCAAGATGCACCAAGGTTATTTTTCTGCCCATTTGGTGATTAAATGAGCGATGATCATCCTCATTTAATCATCAAAATGAGCAAAAAATACCTTGGGTGCACTGTGCACCCAGGTGTATATAACAACCTTTGCATTATGAGAATGTGTGTATATTGGCGTTGTGCTGTGTGTGTGGCCGTGGTGAGTAGACCTGACAACAGCACCCCATATCCGATTATCCGATCAGAATTACCCAACACAAAATATCAACTGTGCCAGAGAAGAGACATTACACTGATTACAGTTCAGAATAATGTGAACTTAAATTTCAATTCTGATAACTTTGTATTGTCAGAGCAGAGCTATAACCCTGAAGCCTACAAGGATTTGATGGAATTCTTGGATAGACACTCTCTGAAAGATGGAGACAAATTTTGTGCAGATTTAATGAGAGAATCCCCAATGCATAAAAGCTTAGGTATGTTTCTTTAACCTCAACAATAATTCTCAACATGATTCAAGCAACTAACAAGTGACTTGCTTTGAAACGAACACAAAACATCACTGTTTCAGCACTACGAATTCTCGAGGTCAGTCCTTAACATGCTTCTTTAAGGTTATCTACTTAAGTAGTTAAGTTGTGAAAATCCAGTTCTGATTTGTACTTTATCCAGGTTCGCTCTGCTTACTGCAAGAACGACTTTGAGTGGGACAACTTGAATCGGCTGGCTGTCAAGGTACCAAAATAAACTCCATCTTAACTCAGGAATCCCAAGCAAAACTTTTTAGTAAATGTAACAGATTTTTCCCAATAAACTAGTTAATGTGACTACTAATTCTGGATGAAAGGAGTTGACCACACTACATACTTTAGCAGTACCACGGAAAATCACTAGTTCTCCAATAGTGACATCCCAGAAAGGCTTTCTGGTGTTTATCTTAAACTATCTTACAGCTGTTGTTTTCTATCATCTCATTAAATCACTGACCTGTATATGCAGATGGTTAAAGACTCGAACACAAAAATTATGAGGGATTATGTCAAGGAAACAAGTCAGGTCGAAAGTTAGAAGTGGGACAACATATCGAGTATAATCATAATGGCCAGCACACTAAGAAGAGCAGCATTTAACAAGTGAACCAAAATATAGGATTTCAAGGCATTTACATGATGGATTCTATTTGATATGTATAATTTATACATTTTTACCAGAAAACTTGAAGCATTTAGTTGTTACAGGAAAACTTCAACTTGTTATGCCGTGCTTGCTGGTAGAAGAAAATCTGCACATGTATAAAGATCCAAGTGATACTAGTGTAAATTAGTATTCTACCTTTATTCCACAAGTCTCCAAAGGTCTGAAGCAGCATTAACATGGCCCGAGCTGAAATATGATTGGGCATTTTCTTCAATATTGTCCAACCTGCAGTACCATTGAAAATTTTCAAGCCTATACAGAGGTGAGAATGACAAATTGACAAAATATATGTGTGCGGGAGATTAAAGATCCATTTTGGTTGGGGTTTGCACTAAAATTATTCTAATTGCAAAATGTTTCAACTGAACAAAAGAAATTTTCTTCATTTTGCAATTAGAAGTTGGTTATGGGAAATATCCCTATGTTCTGCTTGTATGTTTTACAGTACAAACTATGAACCTTTTCGGCGAGGGAAGGTACAAAACTACAAAGTAAGGTGAAGTGAAAGGGTAAAAAGAAAATCCTACAAGAATAGACAGATCGATTAGGCTCAGAAAAATATGAAAAAATTATCCCCCCTACCCTCCCACACCAATATTAAACAACAGGAGCAGAGGGCGATATATCCTTGTAATCAAACTGAGCCAACACGCTGTCATGCACCTTAATCTGAGATTAAACTTCAGATGAAGGATGCATGCCATCATACCAATACCTCCTAGGTTATCGAAAATAAGAAACCCAAGATAATCCTTACTACTTTCGGATGGGCACAGATAAAACAAGCATGTTTGGACAGGTATATGTACCTGTACATATAATTAACCATGATACCACTGCTTTGCGAGAGTCCTTTCTCTGATCTGTCAGCCATCCAGTTTAACCTCTCGACCACTGTTTCATATTAGCATGATACAGTGTCAATGCTTAGATATTATTTCAACATAAAATTAAGCACCCTGAGTTTCAAAGTTCAAACTCTAAAACCTGGAAAGAAAATGACCAAAAAAAAAAAAAAACTCATATTGTTTATTCATATTGTAAATTCCTTCTTTGACCAGTCTTAAAATTAATCAACTTCAGGAAAACAAAACTCAAAGTTCTTGAACCTACCGCCCCGTTCTGCAAGTGAAAGTTTGCAACAGCATCTAGAGCTTTTCCTCTCTTTTTTTCTTGAAGAAGGTACCTGAACAGAAATTCAATAATATTGAAGAATCAAAACAACTTGAATTGATTGCCTAGAAGGCATCATAGCAAATTTCTATATCATTCACGAGACCATATTCGATCATGTTCTATTACTAAACATTATTTCTCATTATGTCAAATACTCTGAAGATTTCAGAATCCCATAAGTGCATCTAGTACCTGGCACAAAGTCGCATCAAAATAGGTTTCAGCACTAACAAAACCCTATCAGATTTGCTCCATTCATGGTTTGGAGATTTCAGCAAATTCAGTATGATTTCAATGCCCGTTTTTCCGGATGTAGATTCCCTGCAACTTATAAAGTCAGAATAACAGCCTAAGAATCTAACAGGTCTACTAAGTATACTCTTTAAACAAACAAAAAATGGTTATGAGAAAATCAAACTTTGAAAACATCATAACACAGAAAACCAATGGCAACGATCTCATCAATTAAAGGCATTTGCAAGGCATATTTTCAGGATTGATCAGCACTCGGCAGAGCTTTAAAAACAACATAAATAAACCAGTAAGAGAGGATTAGAGGAGGAGAAGAGAACTCATATCCTTTTGAATTTTTAACTCCTGATTCAGTACAAAGACAAATATATTTAACCTTCTCTCCCACCCGCCGAATAAGGGAAAGAAAGCACTCAACTTTTCTTACATGTCCTGAACACCAGATAAATTCAAATATAGAATTTGAAATGTGATGACCATTAGTTGAAACAAGAATAAAATCAATAAAGATTTCTCTAAAAAAATATGACATGCACCCACAAGGCCGCAACATCAAACACGTTATCGAAGAAGTTGCACCTTTTAATAATAACAATTCCTCATCTTTCAACATAAATTTTGATGATACCCTCTCGCATGAAAGCCTCATATGAAGCAGGAATCATTATGGATAATTGCATATTAAAAAGCTAAGGAAGAAATCCTTAGCTTGCTGCTATTCAGTTTGCACATTGCACAATACAGAGTAGTAAATAAAGGCTCACCCCAGTTTATCTAGGACTTCTCTCTCTTCCTCTGCTGTTAGCACATCTTCTCTGAATGTAGAACCTGTACTTTCCTTGGAAGAACCTGACATGTCTATAGTCTCTGCTTCTGCAAGCTTAGATTGTGATGCCAACTTTGATATCAGCCAGCTCATGAACCCAGGGATCGGACTAAGTGTTGCAAATGTCTTCACAAGAACGGGAAATAAAATACTATGCGTCAAAATCAGGACAGCTTGATTTAATTCTATATAATGCCATTGCAAGGTTTACTAAGTTTAGCATCACTAGGCACTTAACACAGAAGATCTAAGAAATTGTAAAAGGCTACCTAATTTATGAAAGTTAAGTAGTAATATTCCATTGTATGATGATACAATGGGTGCCAGAAGTACTCACACATATATGTGGCATATCTTGTTTAACCAGTTCAATCACACGTTTAATAAGGAACTTTCCAAGGTTAATTCCTGCCAAGCCTGGCTGCCAAATTTGAGAAGCATATTAAGGCATAAAGAATAAGACCCAATAGTTATAGATTATTAAAATAAAATAAAATAAAACTTAAGATTAGAAGCTTGATGGATTCTATACTTCAAGATATCATCATTAGGGGGCAGAGAAAATACAAGACTACTCGTATTTCACCTGACTAGATGAGATTGAGTAAAATAATGCGCAAGTTGCATCACATTCAAGTATTGGAGGATCATCCCAAAGAACTTCCTGAATAATTAACAAGCATTAACAAATACCCACACTATATGGAAGAAGCTGAAAAGATGTTGAGATCTGCATGAATGTACCTGTATAGTCTGAGCAACATTTTTTAATAATGCTACCTCGATGAAGATAAGAGGTTCACCTGAAATTTGATTATTCCTTCCAAGATTAGCGATTTAGAGCTAATACAATTGTTATTTATCATATATCATAAAATTAAAGATTTTAATTTGATAATCAAACTCAAAATACAGTTTTTTCATGCATCAAAAATCATCTTCAAAAACAGAAAGTATTACTCCATACATTAAGATGCAGAAAACACACCGTCACAGGACTCACAGCCATGTACTGAAATTTATTGCATTTCACATTGACAACTAAAATTGTAAAACACACTGTCACAAGACTCAAAGCCATGTACTGAAATCCATTTCCTTTCACGTTGACAACTAAACTTATTACATAGAAGAAGTGTGGTAGGTTATTTAGCCACAAACTTGCAGCTTCAATATTGATGCTTGAAAGTGAACATACAGCCCCGCCCCCCAAATCACCACACACACAGAGATAGATAATAACAAAAACAAAAAATAAAAGGACACAGAATGATGGAAACAGGCAAACATTACATTATATAAACACAGGTGAATAAGTAGGAAGCAAATAGTAGGGACAAATAAAAAAAAACAAAAAACTAGCCAATGCAGAAGAAACAGAAATAAAAGAAAAATAGCATAAAGATCAAGCAGTAGAGCAACAGCATACGCCCTCACTATACACAGAGTATGCTATTAGGAAGGCAGCAGAACTACACCAGACCACTGAAGACCAGTCATCCAGTCAACGAGAAACTCATGAATTCAACAAGGTTATAATAAAGCAGTTTGTCTGCGGCCATACATATAGGGATTATTGGAAGGAAAGGAAGAAGGTAAACATTAAGGAGAGGGGCTAACCAGGAATTGCAGGATGCAAATACCCAAAACAACGACGACCTACTCCTAGTCTCCTCTTAAGATCAAGTAGGCTGCTGATAGGATGAACAGCCTTTACACCAGAACGACCAGATCTTTATTAGACAATTGGCCAAGCATTTTAAATTGCCATCTAAAAGCATCAAGGAAGGGAATAAAACCTCATAAGCAACAATTTTCTCCAACAATGAAGCGGGATCATCCCAAGTTATGTGGTGAAGCTCCAATGCAGCTGGACTTAGCCATGTGATAAGCTTCTCCTTTAAGTAGGAATCTAGTGCTCGCAAAGATGGAATGTTGTGTTCCCTATAAAGATGATAAGGCCAATATACTGTTATAGAAGACTGAATTCTACTGTTTTAATTAAGCATAATTCGTATTTAATTAAGGCTAAAAGCTTGAACGTTTGATTGATTAAAGGTTGGATTACACAAGGATAGTCATAACTTGAGGTTATGAATCTCTCAGTAGCTTTAGGCTACAAATCTCTCTAGTAGCTTGAGGCTACAAGTCTCACAAGAGGTTCACTCAATTTCTGCCTACCTTCTATGTTACACATACTAACTTACTTATACTAATGGTCAAGGTTGACCTTAAAGCTTACATGTGACTACTAAACGAAAATGGAAAAACCATAATAAAACATACTAAAAGCTGATTGCTTTCTTTCCTTCTCTTCTTCTTAATTAAATTTGTCTTTTACTTAATTACCCCCTAAGTTGGTCTATTACATATACACAGGTTAATGTTCTTCATGTCTTCATTACCAATAGACTACAAGCAAAAGAAAATGTATGATCACAGCAAAACTAGTGCAAATTTGTACCACACTCTAATAATCTATCAGAAAGGATTGTATGTTCCGAAGTAAATTTTACCCAGCATGAATGTCAAGAACTATACAACATTTCCCTAATCTTGATTTTATCATTGTCAAAGCATATGCCCAATCCACAATGATTAAACAACTGAGATATGTTGGTTGTAATGGCCAACAATCATCACCATCCAAGGTGATGAGAGGAGAAGAAAATACCTATTATCAAACTAGGGAAACTTCTTCAAGAAAGATAGCTCTTCACAACATTAAACATGTACTTTCCATGCATCAAGACATTTTATTTCCTCAAGTTTACATAAGCTTTACATAACGATGCCAATCTAATAAACATAGTGACTTTGAAAGTTGCATATAATTATTCGGAAAAGCAATTGTGATATATGATAAGCACGTGTTCTTACTTGATTGTAGAAAGAATATTAGCACGAAGTACTGATAAGAATTTTAATCCTCCAGGATGGGTATTCAACCTTTCAAACAGAACTTCATAAGTTGGCTGTAGTGCATGCCTCAAATGCTTCTCAGTGCGGTAAAAAGTAGAAAGTGAGCCATCATCCTCAACACCAATTTCACCTTTATCGCCTATCAGAGAGCTTACAGTATTAAAAACTCCTCTTCACTTGACAATACAAATGCACCAAAAATTAGTGTGTATGAAGTCAATAGACCAACCAGCAGGAAGCTGAAGGCCAAGATATTGCTTCATAAGATCACGAACATAGGTCCTATTGAGATCGTACTCTTTGGCAAGTACCATAAGTAACTCTCGTCGGTCTTCAATAGAAAGACCATAATAACCCTGATTTATATAAAAAGTGATTATAATGATAAGCCTCGTAGGTGTTATAAGAACCCATATAATGATACAATACAACATATAAGAAAGTGAACATAGAATCACCTCAGAGAAATCACTTAGAACATTATCCTGAAGTTCAGTCTTGTTCATTGATATAGCTGTGTGCATTCTTTCACGCACAAGCTCAATTCCTCTGCGTTTAACAAGTTATCATCCCTCAATGTCACGCAACAAATAAACAGCAATATCGATATCATTAACTGAAATCGGGAATACTTTATAAACAACCAGGGCATAACTATGAATTCCTTATATTACATAAAATTAGGATAAGATAAATTTAAGAAAAATAAGTTCATAAGTTGGTAATTATGCCCACTGATATTCATAGTGAAATATTATTACATTGATATTCTAAACTCTAAAGTGACTGTTACCATATTCTAAAAAGAGCATATATTATGGAAGTACTAGTATAAACTAGCTATAATATTATATATACTGTACATTAAGACAATGAACCAAAAACCATATATAATAATACTGTGAGCTCATAAAATCACTCAAATCCAAAACTAACAAAACAAAACCCTAAAACATCTAAAAGAATCCAGAATTCTTAAGAAATAAAGAAAGGACCTTTCATTAAGAAATAAAGAAAGGACCTTTCATGAAATTCTGGAGAAATGAGCTAGTGATCAAATTTTGGGTCTCCACCATTTGCTGAAATTGGTTTTCTGGGTTCATTACCCTCTAAATTTGCTGACATTTTGTTCTATAAAAACACAAAATTAACAATAAATAACAGCAAGAAAAACAGACAAAAATCAATTGATAACCCAATATTATTGGAGATATAGATACATCAATAAATTTAATTAAGAAGCTTAATCAATAAAATCAAAACCATTCTTACAAAAAGAAAAACAAACAAAACCAAACCACCCAATTAAATATTACGAAAGAATTGAAATAGAAAACATACAGTATCAGGAGAAAGAGGAAAATTTGTGGGTTTCATTCGTGTTCTCATCAAAATTGCAAGGCCTTTTTTGTTCATAATTCAGCTGGGATTTTCTCCAGAAAAGTATTCTGTTGTTTACATATCACTTTCCTTAACTGCCGGTTGTTTATTCGTTGGTTTTTCTTGCCTTTTTTTTTCTTTTTTTGATTGATTGGGTTTGATGAGGTTTATCTTCCTTAGACAGGCCCAATGGCTGTTGCAGGCCTTGCAGCATATCAAATTCAACCCGGTTGCGCAGAGCGCTTATCCGTAATTTTACACCCTCTTACATTTTTTCCTCACTATTTGCTCGATGATGGTGTAGGAGTGTAGGATCAATCAACCAAGTGACTAATCAATGTAGAGGTGATAAATAATCGGGTTAAGTCGGGCCCATGCATAAGATCTTGTGACCTGTAAAATAATATCGAGCTTGTCAAGCCAAAACGGAATTATGTGCTTTTTCGGATCGGGATTGGCTTTGGACTAAAAATGCATTTTTATCCTGGCCCAAACCCTTACTTTTTTCAGGTGCGGGACCATTGATGATCACCTCTAAATCAGTGCTTAGACAAGCCTAATGGTCTTTGGTCGTGCAGCAAATCAACCCCCAACCCGCTTGTGCTTAGCCACTCTCGTTGTAGATTTACACCTTCTTACATTCTCCTCTCTATGTGCTCATGGTGTAGGATTGACACCCTACCATGATAGCATAACCAAAGCATATAAATATCAATAAAAAAAATTGTGCAATCCAATCATAAACTACACTGTAAAAATATAGAGTTACTAAGTTGATGTACTTATATTCAAAATGTATTTAAGATAAAAAAAAATTAAATTATATATAGCTATTATGATAATATATATCCCAAACATATACTTGTACATTATCATCTTAAGAATTGTGTTTTAACAAATTCCTAAAGGAGTCAATACACCACTATTTAATAAACCTTATGTACAAACTTGTTAAGATTGTTAACTACACATTTCTCTTAATTATGAAATTGACAATTGATAAACATTATCAAGGAGATAAACTACAAAATTCCCAAATAAAACATCCCCAAACATTTGGTACTTAAGGTATGAACAGAAGAATTGAAATCAGCTTCCTTCTTGCGACTATAAAACAAAATTCTAAAACAATTTACAAAAAAGTTAATGAGTATTAAAACTAACTATTGCTGCCCAGGATCGAACTGGGGACCTTTAGTGTGTAAGACTAACGTGATAACCACTACACCACAGCAACCGATATTACTATGTAGCAATTAATATACTTATCATTGTTTAATTTTCTTCAAATAACATACATGAGTATTTCCTCTGTTAATTATTAATTGGAATAAAAGAATATTTTATATCTTACAAATGATACTCCTTTGTTGTAATTAATAATTAGCAGAGAAAATAGAAAATTTGCTTCAAATAAAATTAGAAAAATCATCAGCATCTGAATTTTAGCATATATATTCTCATATCGTTATCATATTACTTGTAGCAGATACAAATTATTCACTACTTCGTATTATGTAGCGCTATGCTTGGTACGTAGAAGTCTAAAACAGATCTCAAACCATCCTATATCTAATTGAGTGATTGCTTTAATTTAGGCAAGGTGTATTTTACACCAGATTATGCAGTTTTATAATCCTTACCAAGTTATATCCAGAACTTATTTTATTTTATGAAATAAGTGAAAATAAGGTAAATATGACCCTACTTTCACACGCTTTTATGTAGTTGTCATATATTACGCCTATTGAGCCTTTCTCCAGGCCAATAATACTCCTTTGTATAATTGAAAACACATCACTCAAATAAAAGCATGCATCAATAAATGTACAAGTTCCTGTTTGTATGTGCTCCCTTGTCTTCATTCTCGCTTTAAGCTAAAAATTTTAGTATTTGTATTTTAATGACTCACTCATGCATATTTCTTGAATTGTATAATGTAGCATTAGTATATAAGCTAGAAGCCAAGAACAAATAAAGGTTTAAATAAGACAAATTAGCTTTAATATTAGTTTGTGATAGATTAATTTATTAATTTATATGAACTAAAACTTTACTTATAAAGTCTTTGAAATCACCAATAATTTCCTTGGAAATTCACTTAATATCAATCTGCTACTTCATTAAACTAAAATGGACCTTGCATGCAGCTTTATTAGTACATTATTTTTTTTAACACATAATAGACGATTTATAAATTAATTATAAAGTTTTACAAACCAAACACCAAGAAACTTAACAATAAAGAGCCTCATATTAAGTACATTACTAATTACTTTATAATTGTACATGTTATTAATATTAATAATAATATTATATGTGCCTTACTTCAATATATTAGTACTAGATTAATTAATATATTGAAATAAAAATGTGTGCCTTGCTTAGGATTGAAGAGAAAAATAAATGGAAAAGTTATAAAGTTGATCGACTAGGCAGGTATAGAAATTCAATTCCTTGCCTTAACGTAGAGTTAACCCACTACAAATTATTCTTTGCTGCTTTCAATGCCAAATTGTATTGTACTATAGTACTACTATATTTGGTGCTTTGCCATAAGAAGGTGCATAGAACCATCCAATAGGATTTTATAAAACGCATATTTCATACGAGTATTTTTATTACTCTGTATCATATTATGTTATTTTCTCTGTTTCTCATTTGTTAGCTAAATATGCTCGATCTTGCAAGTCTAGCTCATTTTTACATAAAAGATTTATTTTGGTTGTAAGAGATGGAATAACATGGTTTAATTGATTATTTTTAGCTAGGTTTAATTTATATGGCTTTTTTTTTAACCCTCTTTAATGTAGGAGTTGCTGCATGTACATTTCCTCTATTGTGAACCATGTATGTATGCATGCATGCAACAATGGAAGCTAAGCAATCACTCTATGTTAATTTAAAAAATTATAATCTTTTCAGATTATTAATTTCTCCATAATGAAATGTATGTATGAACTCCATTGGTATGAAGTCTTTTGCGAAGATGTTTGAAAACAATTATGTGTGAAATAGGTCCAAAAACGAACAATATTATATTCTCATCATCTAATCAGAGACAATGTGATTAGAGTCAAGGTGAGCATGTGGCCCAACAACTTAAGTGAAAAAGATTAGGGTCCAATACAAGTGGTAGCAGAGCTAATGGTTTGGCTAGGACAAATATACAAACCAGGCCAAATGGGTAACATGGTGCTCGAACATATGCAAATGTAGAGTGGTGTGCTCGATGACATGAGCTAGTACAAATATTTGGCAATGGTGTGTGGAAGCCCTCAGTACAAGGAAAATCCTATATTGTACAAGTTAAGAGTGAAAGTGATCGGGTTAGAAAAAGAACTAGAGAATGTCCATGATATTGAACTAAACTACATGCTTAGTTGTTTTCACAAGATAATTAACATAAATTTCTTTATTTTATTTAATTAATGAATGGCATCTTATAATCATCAACTAATGCACGTTTAGTTTTACACATGATCAATAATGTTTTCTCAAGCACATTAGTCAATTAAATAAATAAATAAAAAGTCGTACATACCTTTATATTGTTGTGTATGAAAACAATCATACTTTGTCTAATTGTCTAAAAAGATTATAAAGTTACAAATTCATGAAAGACATGCAAATTCTCCAACTTTCTGAACAATTGCCAATATAGTTTGCTTTTTAGTGGAAATTGGAATCCCCTTTTCATATTCCATCACATAATTCTCATTATAATCACACAACGTTGGGTTTATGGTCAATGCGATCCAAAAAGCAAGAAAAAAAAAAAGGAATGAATTTGATGGAAGCTCTACACAAGTCATTGAACCCTTTAACCTTTTTTTCTTTTTTTTAAAAAAAAAAAATAAATAAATTATATTTTCTTCCTGTTTTTCATTACTTGTAAAAGGTTGCCTCTCAATGCAAAAAGAATGGCTACATATCACTTATACGGTTATACCTTTGGAAATTAAAGTAAGTGTTGCAATATTATACTTCTTTTTTCTTTTATTATATATTATTATTATTATTATTATTTTTTAACAGTGTGAAATATAATGGTTGCACTATATATGACATGTGCAAACTAGCTATATCTATTTAATCTATGTAGTACATAGTATGTCATTTTTAGGATAACTTTTTACAATCCCATTTGCATGTACCGGTGTACAATATTATTACTGTACATCAGGTTTTTCGCACATGCAACCCATTTACTGTTTTTTTTTTTTTAAATCGCGGAATTTCATACCTAAAAATAAAAAAAAAAACGCAGAACAACAATGGAGGAGAGAGAAATTGAGAAAACGCAGCTCTCGATCATCCATTGAGGAGAGAGAAAGTGAGAAATCGCAAAAATTGCAGAAAACGATCATCAATCGTGGAGAAAAAAGGTTAGAAAACTTACAAATTGCAGAAATCGATCATCAATGGAGAATTCGACTTTCGATACAATAAATTGCAGCAATCTTATTCACGAATTGCTACAAAAACAGAGGCAAATTGAGACTGAATTTGAAATCGATTTAAATCGATCGATTATAGAAGAAGAAGAAACTAATTGTTTTGAAGATGAATTCGTACCAATATTCAACAATCCAGACAATGCAGATGAAGCAATTGAGAATGCAGAAGACGAAATTCACAGTGCAGAATATCAAGTGATTCCTGATAAATCAATTGATTCAAATTCAGAACAAACAACCAAATCAAATGCAACTGAAGGTAATTTCTATAAATTTTTGAGATTGTATGCAAAAAGTAACCCTTTGAATACATAATTGTTACCCTTTTCATGCATAAACGTGACCGTACTTATGCCTAAATGTTACCCTCAGATTGAATGCAGAACTTTTGAGATTGCATGCAAAAAGTAACCCTTTGAATGCCTAAATGTTACCCTTTTCATGCTTAAAAGTGACCCTATTTATGCACAAATGTTACACTCAGATTGTATGCTGAAAATTCAGATTGTATGCAAAAAGTAACCCTTTAAATGCCTAAATGTTACCTTTTTCATGCATAAAAGTTACCCTATTTTCAAACGAATGTTACCCTTTTTTATGCTGCCTGTGGTTATTATCTGATTTGTTTGTATTAAATAACAGATACAAATCCAATTGATGCTTCTGGTTTAGATCTTAGAGGATCATTTGTTGGTGTGGTAAGAGAAACTTTTGAAGAAATTTTGGAATTGTATGAAAAACATGCTGCTATACTGGGGTTTTCAATAAGAAAACATACAACTAGATTCAAACAACACACAAAAATAGTAACTGAGAAAAACTATGTGTGTTCTGCTGAGGGAAAGAGACATTCAGGTCAGAAGAAAACAAAGTTAGTTGAAATGGTTGATGAAGAGGATGTAAATGTAAA